CCAACGCTTTGGCACCGCTGCCTCAGAATCTACAGTGTCAGCTTGTGATTATATGAGCCATAGTCTAAGCTCGTTAGAGGGGTTTTTTTCGGGGATTATATAGGGAAACTACTATACGGGTTATTACGGGGGATACTAGGAGTTCAGACTAGAGCTCAGATTATGAGGCATCGCCGGTGCAAGCGGCTGTGGCAAGAGCACTGTGGCGAAGAAGTTGGCCAGTGACATGGGCTCTCCCATAGCCCCGATCCTGGGTTGCTGTTCAGGAACTTAAATGAAGCCACCATAATGTGTATCCCAAACGTAGTAACTTAAATTAAGCTACCATAATGGGTATATATACATATAGAGGTAGATGGTTTCCCCAATATAATAACTTAAATTAAACTCCTTAACAACAACCCAGGATCAGCCTGGACTCGTACCTCAAGCCGAAGTGGATGCCGAAGGCCTGGACCTTACCAGCCACTGGAAACCCGTGAAACATAGCGTGGTATGAGGCTCATGGGGACTTAGTAAGTAGGTTAATAACCCCTATAAGCCACATAATAACCCCAGTTATCCCCTATATTTATCCAGTTACTAAGTCCCCATGACCCTCCAAGTGAGATGAGGCTCATAGACTCAGAGTGCCGGAGCACTATACGTGTCATTAGTGTTGCTTTTGATATTCTGTTGTTATTATGAGTATTGTTACGATTGCTATTGCATTTTCTTTTCATTTAATAGTACAGTATAGTATAGTATCTTATAGTATAGTATAGTACAGTACAGTACAGTATAGTAGTGTTATTATCACCACTATCGTTACTAGGACTACTGGGCTGCCAGCAGCCCTGCAGAAATGCTACTGGGAGCGGGCTGGGTTCAGGACACGGCTCCGGCTCTAAGAGACCAATTGGGTTTAGGGTTCACGGTTTACGGTTTAAGGTTTACGGTTTAAGGTTTAGGGTTTAAGGGTTTAGGGTTTAAGGGTTTAGGGTTTAAGGGTTTAGGGTTTAAGGTTTAGGGGAAAGTAACCGGCTAAGATCACAGGGGTTTGCATAGGAACATGTTACCCAATCATTGGAGTTATGTAGGGGTTATATAGGGTAGTATCTTGGGGTTATATAACCCGTGTTTAAGATCTAGAGTTGTTGCAATAGGGATATTAGCCCACTAATGAAGAATCACATGGAACATCACCTGGAACGTAACATGGAAACTGCTTTATATACAGGTACTTAACACAACATAGTAAGTGTTGAGACAAGTTCAACGCACGGGATGACACAAACCTTCTTGGCAGTGAAAGCCTCCCATATATGCTTGGCATCTTATTTTGGGTACCGAGTATGTTTAAACGGAGGGCAGTTGAGCATTCTAAAATATTCTAAATGGAGTCTGCTGGAGAGCTGAAGCGCAATGAAGCGCAGCTTCCAGGTACCGATCTATGGCAAGAACTGGGAAACACCGCAGGGTGTCGACTTCGAGTTGCTGGCTGCAGACGTGAGAAAAGCCGTTGACATCTTGGCCAGAGCAGACACAGCCGCTCAGAAAGATATGCGCGGTTTAAGGATACTACCCGGATCATGGAGAATCAATGCAAAAGCAAGTGGATATAGTCCCCCTTAAGTAGATACTGTAGACTATGGCTTTGGGTATCTTATAATAACATCCCCATCTACCCTATATTCTATCTACTTAAGGGGGACTATAACCCCAATATATACCCTATTATAATATACCAACACCACCAATACCACCACCACCGCCGCCGCCACCGCCGCCGCCGCCGTCGCCGCCGCCACCACCAGAAGATTTCATATGTTCAAAATATCACTATATATAAAATTCTACATTTCTCAATATTAATAACAAGATCACTTATGCAAATCATATATCAAATATCAAAAGATATAATCTGGAAATATACACAAATATTTAACACATCCATGTCATTATTGAAATTTAATTTCGTAAATAATGAAACTATTTCCCTTTAACATTCGTGTTTTTATATTGCACTTCCTTAGGGCTATAGAATTCCCTAATGGTTTCATATGTTTTCCGAATATTTGGCTGTATTTCAGAGATTTCGGAGATTTCAGGCTTATAAAGTCCATATTTTTAGTGCGGATTTTTTCATTTCGGGGCCTTGCCCTGTAGTATCTGTATTCTTGTGTTGTACTTGTTTTGGGCTATAGCATTTCCCTAATGTTTTAATATGATTTCCGAATATCCTCATGTATTTTGGGAAAAAAGGGTAAGAAAGTCCATATTTTTACCGCGGATTTCGCCATTATGTTTCATAAGTACTGTAGGGGACTTAGGCTCAAAAGGGTTTAGGCTTGGGGTTTAGGGTTCTTAGGCTCAAAAGGGCTAAGGCTTGGAGTTTAGGGTTATAAGATTTAGGCTTCAGGGCTACAGGACTGAGGCTTTAGGGTTAGGAATTAGGGTTTAGTGTTTAGGGTTTAGAGGCTGTAGGGTTTAGGATTCATGGGGTCGATGTTTAGGCCTTCCCATAATTTGAGGTCAGAGGGTCATATGAGGTTTATTGGGGCTGAAGGGGCTATAGGGCTGAAGCGACCAGGGTTTAAGGTTTAGGGTTTGGCTTCGGCCTTAAACCAGGCGTGGAGAGTTGCAAGCCTGCTGCAAAAGGGTTTAGGGTCTATCTGTTAGGATTTTTTCTGCAACAATGTTTGCGCTGCAGCAATTTAGAAGGGGACCAGGCGTGGGCCCTTTCGCAGGAACTGGAAATGACACCCTGTCAAAGCTAATTTTAAGCTGGAACTGTAAGACTGCTTGGATTTCAGGGGCCTCTGCTTCATGTTCACGTCAATCAGGGGGGCTTGGCAAAAGGGCCCCTGTCAAAGCTAATGTGATGAAGGAGCTGTTCATGTGAGGGTTGCTGTCAGTGCTAATGCGAAGTAGGAGCTGTCAGACTGCTTGGCTGCAAGGGGCCTGTGCTTTGTGTTCATGTCACAGTGCTGCATCTGTCAGTTGATGTCGGGCAGTGCTTGCAGGGAAAGCGTGGACTGAACTTGTGCATGCGTGTCTTCAGGTTTGCAGGCTTGAAGTCAGTCATGTTCTTGCCTTTGGAGCGCAAGCGCATTAGGCAGACGTGCAGTCAAAGCAGCTTCATGCTACATGTTTTGAAATGTTGCCTGTAGGGACACACATGTTTGTTTAGAAATCTTGCCGGTAGGGCTGCCAGATAGAGCAATGGCTCGAGCTGGAACTGGGAAGAGAAAGAATCGCGAGGACATTTGGTCCAAGAAGCACGGCAAGAAAAAACAAAAAAGCTCGAACCCAAAGGGCCCAAAGTTGTCACTCATCGCTTGCGCAGGAAGCAGTCTTTGGGAGCCGGTGCTGGGCCCTCGGGAGGTGCCGAAGACCCAATTTCAATTGTGAAGCGTGTCTTCGCCAAGCATCCGGTCATTTGTTGGTGCTCGCTTTGCCAGAAGGCGTTGGTGGCAGCCTCCAAATGTCGCGGTTGGCTGGAAGGTGGTCCGCACACTTGTGGTTACTTGAAGTTTCCATTTTCTTTTCCACTACCCCAACATAACCCCAATAATATACCCCATATTCTGTCTACCTAAGGGGGGCTAAACACTAAGCCCTATATTGCTAAGTAAAATAGCAAGCCGGGCACTGTAGAGCCGAGGATCTGACTCCAACTTTCAAGTCAACTTGGGGGCTCCCAAAAAATGGGTGGGGTTCAGGGTTTAGGGTTTCGGGCTTAGGGGGTACCTTTTTGGGAGTCCAAACTTAGTAGAGGGGCTATAGTGGGTTTAGGGTTTAAGGTTTTTGAGTTTATATCGGGGAGGACGGACTATAGTGGGTTTAGGGTTTAGGATTTTTCAGTTTATATCGGGGTCCCTTTATTTCAGAAACAGCCGTTTAAGGTGCCAGATACATTGCGGCTGGGGCCAGATATGGAAGACGTGATCTCCAAGGGGCAAGCGGCTTGTACTCAAGAGGGGGCATATGAAAGTTTTTCAAACAGGAGGCTTGGGACATATGGGCATTTCAACAAAAGTTCTGTAGGTGGAGGTAAGTTTGGAAAATGCCCACAGGTCTGAGCGACTGTGACTGATGTTAGTTCAGCAGCTGGGCCTCCATACACCTACCTTCCGTCTTATCCGTCAATTCATGCACAGTAAGCTCACAGAGGCGCATCTTCTGGGTTGCTGTTAAGGAACTTAAGTTAAGTTACTATATTGGGGAAACCCTATTAATTACCATATATACCCATCATGGTAACTTAATTTAAGTTCCTTAACAGCAACCGAGTCTTGTGTTCTTGTTGGCCCTCGGGACTTACAGGCTTCACTTGCGCTGCGCCAGTTTGTAGGAGATTTGTTCTATCCGTTTGGCAGGGTGGCTGCCCGCTTACATCGAAGCAAGTTGTTCTTTTCCTGGTGGCTTGGCCGCACTGCTCTTGAAGGGTTTCTCCATGATCAGTCACAGCTTCATACTTGCACGGCATTTTTTGCATGCAGAAGCTACCTGCTTGCGCATCCTTTCCCAGGAAGGCTTCTTGCTCTTCTACGAGCAGACGCTGGCAAAGTTTATCCAGGTCAAGATTTGGATAGATGCGGATCTGCAGAAGCTTGTTAGAATTTTGCATGACAAAAGCTGTTGGACTTTGGGAAGTCGTGCAGGTTCTCTTCATAAAGATGGTTGGACGCGCGGGACTAAGATAATGTAGCACTTTTGGGAGGTCAGGTTTCTGGTCGACACATGGCCAGGGAAAGATGAGAGCATAGCAAGACAGCAATTCAAATTGGGGTAATATCGGGGTTATATTGGGATTATATTGGGGTTATATGGGGGATAAGGGAAAAGAAAATGGAAACTACTATAACGGGTTCTATGGGTGGTTGTCAAAATTATGGTTCCCTAAATATTAGGTGCCGTATTATAATAGGGATCCAAAGAGGCACCATAATTTTGACAACCACCCATATGTGTTTCTCAAACTACTCCATCCAGGCGTACATGGAGATCATTAGGCAATGGATATCTGTCATCTGAGGACCTGCATGCAGAGGCGCTTCAGGCGAGCCAAGGGGCGCAAGAAAAGCAACAACTTAGCGGAGAAAGAGGCATGGTTCCGTGACTTGGTGTGGCACCACTACGAGATGTACAAAGGGTGCCAGCTCAATAATGCAGCGGATGCATTGAAAGTCGATGGCGACTTGCCCAAAGACGAGGTTTTCTCCAAGTGTCTTGGGTTCTGCATGGAAAACTTGCGGCAAGTCGACCTGAAGCCCGCGCCGCCGAAATTCCCGCCACCAAAGGTCATCCAGCCAAAAGTCATCCTGCTGCCAAAGCGTCTGCAAGCTTCGGAGGAGCCCAGGAAGGCTAACTTGGTTCCAAATATTCCGAAGGCAATGCCAAGGCGGCCTGACAAGCCGCCCTTGCCCAAAGCAATGCCTAAGAGACCGGAAAATCCGCCTCAGCCAAAGGGGATGCTGAAACGACCGGAGAAGTCGCCTCAGCCCAAGGCGACGCTGAAAAGACCGGAGAAGCCGCTGGTGCCAAAGGCGATGCCGAAGCGCACCGAAAAGCCCGTGCTGCCCAAAGCGATGCCGAGAAAGCCCGAGAATCCGGTTATGCCAAAGGCGATGCCCAAGAAGCGACCGCTTCGGGCGCTGGAGGAGGAGATTGCTAACACACCGCTGCCAAGGCCATTGCCAAAGAAGCGCCCACGACCAAGGGGTGAGTATGGCGACTAGGCCTCATCATCATCCCGCGCAATGCAGTACTGACTGGCGAATCTTGGGGATTGAGGAGATGCCGGCTGGAAACCCCAAACTCTAAACTCCAAACACTAAACCCTAAACCTAAGCGAACTGTAGCCCGCAGCAAGCGTTGCGCGAGCCAAAATGAAGATGCGGCTGCCTGATGCTGAAGTTTGGGATTCGGAATTGATCCCATCCCATATTGCGTAGTAGTCCTTGAATCCATGCCCCCATTTCAAGCGTCGCCACGGTTTGGAAACATTCGGGATGTTGGGATGTACTATGATGTACTAGAATGCCTTACCCCACGAAACCAGGCAAACTGCGCCAACGTCTGGCCCAACAGCCGACAGTGGGTTTGTGTAGGATCTTTGTCATGCTTACGGAGTAGATCCGAAAGAAGTAACTCTATAGTATCCCTATGTATCCCTA